TCACCATTACAAATCAATATTCCCTTGGTGTAACGAGATATTTAGTGAGGTTCTCATCATCTAATCCAAAAGATCCAACATAGAATCGTTTATGTGATAGAGGTAATTTGGTATTGAAGCTAACAGGAGAATCTCTGGACTAACTGAATTGGGAAATTATTTCTCAAGGAATTTTGTCTTCACGTTTGTATTTTAGGTGATTTTCATATATGTATATGCATGCTAGGGTAGATAGTATGCCATCGACCGGATAAAATTTTCCTGGAAGTAAACATTTGATTTCACTGTGATTGCCGCTGGTCGGGTATTCGTTTCCGATAAACTCGCCTCCAACCTGCTATATTCTTGAATGCGTGATGAACATTTTTGTCACAAATTTCTCATCGTCTCTAAGGGGAGTAGAACTGCGGACATACTGTCCAAAGCAGTCCATTTATGAATGAAAAAGATGCTTATTACTAACGTTTTGCCTATTAGGAGCTACCAACCTTAGCAAATTTGGTTGAATATTATTTTTGAAATATTTGAACAAACGTCCGCACGAACTGCATCCTGTTTTATCGATAACATAGAAGTGATGAATATACAATGGAATCTAAGATTGGGAAATTAGTACAAGATTTTGTGTTGGATTTTGAGTTTTCTTTATTTCTTGATTGCTATCGAGTATCCCTTGCAACTTGTACATGCAATTAAGATTTCCTCCACAGTTATAAAAAGAGGTTATTTTGCAGTACCTTTCAACTAAGGAGCGAGTAATTGTAAAAGGGTTTTTACAACAAATTTCTCCAACAGATTGGTTTGTGACAAAATGTTAACGCCCCCTTAGTTCTTCTCCTGTAACCCTGTTGAGTACTTTATAACCCAAAATGATGTATCTAAATAACCAACCACTTGTTGATATTTTTGCTGATTGGGAAGGTGTAAAATTTACCTGCGCTCTGATAACTGATCTATGTGGCTAAATTACAATTGAATAAGAAGGATAAAGACAAGTTATGATGCAAATAAAATTCATATTTCGTGTTGCATTGCGCGGTAAACGGGCCAGCGCAATGCGAATTCGCACTTCATTCCGGGGCAATAATCGATTGCACAAAATCTCTGGCGCGGTTGAAACAGTGTTTAAGGGACGGGGCAGTATACAGGAAATAATCATATGCGCTCAGCTTGTCCACGTCCGTGCCGAAAATAAAACGTTGTGATACAGAAGACGAGAGGTAAATTACAAACTGTTTCTAGCACACGCATACACACAAACCCCAGACAAAATGGCGTTTGACAAAGTAGACCTCTTTGTTTGTTGGCAAAGTCTGATAAAATAAGATCAAAAGTCAAACAGACGGAGAAACGTAGAGAGCACAAAAGAAACCGACTGTCTCTTGGAATGAAGATGAAAGAACATTTCTTACTTTAGCTAAGGTTGCAGCGTAACAATAGGAAGCTTTTCAACCACAGCTGAAAATCCTTATGTATCACCTTTGCCATACTGGCTTTATCGTATCTGTAAATCAAATTGTTGATCCATAGTTAGAGAGTCTATAATTATCACACTAATCTTTGATATGCTGTTTGATATCTGAAATAAAAAGGATTCGGATGAAGGAGTTATGTTTGAAAAAGTGGTCAACAGATCCACTTATCAATCTTTCACTTAATCCAATTGAATATTTCAACATTTATGGAATTTATCATTTGATCGACCGAATAATTACCCCCNCCCCCCCCCCAATCCATTTAACTCAATCAGTGAATCAACCAGTCAATCGCACCCTTGAGTCTCTCTAAAAGTTGATCGTTTTAATCATGTTTATTTCCGATGAATTTGTGGCTGATTTCCTTGCACAAATGAATATAACCCAATAAATAATTATGAAGGAATTTCTGTGAATATAGCTCCGGCGGAAAACCTGTTGATGGTCGTTTTTCCTTGCACTCTGCTACCCTAGAATAGTGGTAATATTAAACAGTCAATCGAAAAGATGTCCTCTGCGATTAAGTGTCCATAGGCGGTCAGAGTTGAAAGCTTTTATTTTGTGCTTAGTGTAGCTAGGTGATTTGAGATGTAAGAAATTCGCAGGCGGATTCACACGCAACGTTTGGATGGAATGCCCTGGGGAATAACAGTTACATGTATCTGGTCCGTTTTCACTTCAGTCACATTAGCGCGGAGAACAACCTCTTGAATAACTTGCAAAGAATTATGAGACAATAAAATACTTTGATCGGTGTGAATAACGATTTTTGTAAGGCGGGTTTTATTAGAGAGGCATCGAAATTGTTAACGATGCAGTGTATAGAAAAATCCTTTCACTCAGTTTTGCTTCACTTAACTAATTTGAGGAAAAAAGTATGCTCATTTGATAATCCATATTCTGTTTGTCAAGTGTTTTTGAAAGTGGTATATAAAAGAGCAATAAAACAATGCATACTGCGCTGAACACAACCCTTGCCCAGCACTTTGCATCGGCGATATATGTAATCGTGAAATCAACGCTTCGCCTTTTGTCCTGTTCCACTGACTCCAGAAGGTTTTCTAGAACAGCCTAATAAACTTAGCTACTAACTTGGCTACAACATTTCTACTGCATTGCTCATGTGCAATTACTGGAACGGTTACCCTGAACAAAAATGCCAAACGGTGCTAGTGATATCACTTGCATTCCTCTTCATGCGACTCCCTATGAAACATGGTGATATGACTCGCGTTCGAATTCCTCTTCAATTAGTGATTATATTTTAAAAGCTAGCTTATTTCACTTGATGTCAATAAAAATGCAAATATATCTACTTACAATTACAAGGAATTTTAACAGTGAAATGCGTGTATGTATTCGTTGCAACAAAGTGGTAAGACGATCAACCCCCTCCCATGATGAAATCAGTATCGGCGTTTCATACAAGCCCTCTGTGTTTCTGCACAGCCGTCAGTATTCTACCAGAAGAACTATGACACTGGCTTTAAGATGTGATATTTCTGCTCTTATGGATTACCCACCCGATTTCAGGAAGAGCTTAGACAATATGGGTACTATGTAAATCATACATGGGGTCTCTCCAAAATCAATTGGATTTCATTTGATTTTGGCGAGGGTTAAAGCGGTTATTGATTTTTAAGACACGGAGACAGAACGGTGTGACAAAAGCTAGGAACAAACCAAATGTAGTTAGCTAAAAGGAATCACGGTTTTTGTCATGTTGCGTTGATCTCGTAAACAGGAATTTGTAACTTAACCACACACTCAGGTACATGAAACGGTGGATTTCACTGCACAAAGACTTAAGAACTCGTTACGCATTTTGTGGGATAACAATTCAATCAATCGAATTTTTGTCCGTTATGATCGTCAGATCTTACACTGATTATTTTTAACTCAAGTCAAAGTAACGAAAGAGGAGTACTACCTAAATGAACACAGGGTGTATTGTCTTTAAATAATCAACCAGACGATCGGAACTATTCTCTGGCGCTGATAAACTAGTTGCGGATTCTGACAAACCAAGTTTTATGTGCAATAACAGTGACAGGTTAAATCTTGATCTTCGAGAGCGAACCATTTTAATGTGTTATCACTGTTCAATCTGTTGATGAAATGTTGAAAATTGGTTCTCGTAGCTCGGGTGAACTGAATTCCATTTCGCCTGTTCGCCGAACTTGACAATTTGTTTGCAAAGGTTTCATCATCAGCCGAGGTGGTATCATCACAAGCACTGATGACGTCACCTCGGATGGCGATGAAACGTTTGCAAACTAATTGCCAAGCTCGGTGAACAGGCGAAATGGAATACTGTTCAATCTTTCTGGACACAAATACATAACCAACGAAAACATCCATTTTTAACGCATCTGTTGTTCTGTGTTTGGTTGCTATGACAACAAATTTTGTGACTAAGGCATTCTTTATCGTGAGTTATTATAATGGTTTTATTAAATATATCGAGAGTTCAAGTCGCTTCTGGAAAATTTAAAACCGTAAATCCTGTACCGAATTATTCTGAAGCTTGAACTCCTGATTCGAATTCAAGCAATACAGAATTTGTTTGCAACTCCGAGGGTTGACTGAAGACGAGCCGGTTTTCAATCCTCGTCGTGATTGAGAATGTAAGAGGATTTGATTTGTTTATATTATTTATTTTGTCCAGCGAATAAAAAATTCAACATACATTTTGATCAGACCTTGAACTGCTGACATGTAACAAGGGGTCAGTTTTGAAATGTTTCCAGTTGAATCGCAAGCTTAGAGGGTGGTGCAGAAAAGAGACAGATTAGAGGCCCAAACAAAACATCTTGCAAATATGAGTTGTGCTATTCGGTGCATAAACAAAACGAGGAGGGGTTTGATCACCTACCCTGTGATCAATGGGGGTAGGCTGGTGATATATCTATGCAGTGGTCCTCCGTTGGTTCAAAGAATTCGCAGTGCTGGTTGCATCTAATCAGGTTAAAAAACCTGTCTAGTGATTTCTAGCTTTCCACTTCATGTTCTGCGCACTCTATACACGGTGAAATTCGAGGTATAATTATTGTGCTATATATATATATATGTACGCATATGTGCATATGTTTGGGGAGAAAGAGATATCTCGAGAAATCCGGATGAATGAAGAGTGACACCGATAAAGGCCGTTATTTCACATGTGCCTACCCATCCTTTTGAGCAAACCTTTCCAACTGTTGCTTGGGAAATCCTCCTAAATACCTCACCTCATTAGATATTCGGTGTATTGTAATATTTCTACTCCATGCCGGAGAAGTAGGACGAGGCTGGGAGCAACAATGTATCACAACGATTTACTGTTTTCTAGTCTACCTAGTCTTATTGTATATAGCAGTTTTTCAAAGTAATTCATTTCTGAACATTGGGTTGTTTCTTTGCTTTGAAGTTAATCTTTATTGACATTTATTGGAAAAGGTGAAGATCTAATCCGCTGCGGTATTGTTTTTGATGTGTTTATTGTTGTCCGTGTTTTTCATCCAATAGAACCGTATGTGCGAGTCCATGAAACTATTTGACTCAATTTGCAACAACAGTTGGTTCATTGAAACCAGTATGCTGCTTTTCTTGAACAAACGAGATCTGTTTATGGAAAAGATCAAGGAATATCCGCTAACAATATGTTTTCCAGAGTATAAAGGTAAGTTAAAAATTTGATTTCAATTTTAAAGAAATCTTTTTTTCTACATAATACATCGGCGTTTGACGCAACTGGGATGTTCTTTGCAGAACTGATGCGTTGTAATATTTTTTTAATGCAAAAAATGAATAAGTCTACCATTCAGAAATTTATGGTAGCTCTTTATGTAAAATGTAGATTTTCTCATTATAATCCGAGTGATCAGTATCCCGTATATCACTATTGCGACTAGCAATACAATATTAATAATCCTCATAAAGGTACTAATTGTCATAATCACCGTAATGTCTGTCCACATCGGACGTGCCACATTATGCCATCCGTATTTAATCACCAGACGCACAGACGTGCCAATAGAAGTAACTGGTTGTGATTTTACATATTCGATGAAGTCATTCAGTGGATGAAACGTGAGCTTAATAACAGGGAGGCACAGTTGATAGTTGTTTTGGCATGTTTACGTCTCATCAGCAGCGCAAACCCATCGAGTCAGCTGGACGTCGAACCAGGCAACTCAAGACTGTTGGAATGAAAGTTAATTCGACCACCAGGCGCCTGATCAGACCAGACCATTTCGCGTTTTGAATATACACAATGTAGCAATACATTTTTAAAAACAGTCACCTTGATTTATTGACTGGAACTATTGGCAAGATATTTCAAGTCTACAACTAACCCCTAAATTTCGAATTTCAACAAGCTCAACCGGATAAATTTTATCAGTCCATGGATGGAATATTTAACACTGTGTTCTGCATTAGATATTTCGTATCTGCGGATTTATATATACAGCTGATACAGCTAAATATGGAATCATTTGAAATTTTGTTAATACTTTATATCCGACGTTACCACTGGCATTGCCGTCATAAGGGAAGGATAGTCCGGAGCCATTACTGAAGACTTACAACTAGGAACTGGAAAATAGGGCTGTCGTGCAGGGATTCGAAAAACGAATCTAGGAGATGATGAATGAGCTGACAGCATATATCGCTGGATTACTGGCACCCTGATGCAAGAAAAAATAGCATGCATGGCTGATTTGCATAAACTGGCTTTTGTGCGGTAAAATTTAGTCTGAAAAATATGCAATCCAAAGGAGAAGGAACAAATATTGCATTAGAATCTGCTTGTTATAGCACATGTTTTGAATGATTATCAGAAAAACCTCTGAGCAGTGGGATTGCTGTTGCCAAACTTCGTGATTCCGTTCATCGGTGCAACGAATGGTTTTCGTTCTCTGTAAGAGAACAACTGTGCCAGACCTTCCAGACCTAAACCAGTTCGTAATAATGGTTGTTAACGAAATCTAATCATCAGAAATGCTTTGATAGCTGACAAAATACTTCTTACATTTTTGACAAGTATGATAATAAATAATCAATGTGTGATCGCCCGAAGGCAGTACAAATCTGCATGGACGACCAGGTTAGCCAAGGGGTCTTCGATTGCAGTTGAAAGACAGTCGTGTGTGTTTCTCCTTGTTGCTTTTAAAGGTCAATTCTGAAAAAAGGTTGAATCAGTTATCATGGTTAAACCATGCATGAGCTTCACGGCGCAGTGACAACACAAAAGCTTCTAGTTGAAGGGTCCAGATGCAAAACCCCCGGAATGGTCATTTCATCCACAATGATGATTAGCTAAAACAAGAGTTACTTCGACCATGATATTTTTTGGGTGTATGGCAAACTTGATGAACTTCAGATTATGTGTGAAGTAAAGTTCCGAAGGAGGTCAGATTTATTAAAATGCACTAGAGTTCAATGCATACGTTTCAAGGATTGATCCAGAGACTGTGAGTCTGTTAGTTAAATGGTGCCTTCAGTTTTTACCAACTGATGAAACAAACGGATTCGTGTTTAAAAACACCCAAAATCCCGTTTCACAAAACCGCAATTAATTTAGCCCTCCTTTCTGGTGTAAATAGACGAGGACACGTTTTTAGGCGACGATTTGGTACACCGTGTAATTCACAATGCAGTTAGAGGTTTGAATCTTCATCTTGAACGTGCACATATAGTAAAAACACCAATTGTCTCCAATGGAAATGAATACAGTTTGTGAAAAAGAGATGTACCGAAAATTGCCCATATAGGTTCAATCAGTGTGGTGGTTCAATAAATATCTAAAAGATAAACAGTGTAATGAAGAAGCCTGTTCTTAAAACTTTGTCTTCGGTTATTTAACGATGTGTTCATGTAAGCGAACGTGATTAGTTCATTTAGTTAGATGGGAAACATTGTCTTTCAAGTTCTGTGGGACACGCGGAGAAATGGAATGGGCTTAAGGTCACTGCTGAAAAGTGACGATGACCTATTTATTCTTGCAACGTATCACGTTATGTTGCGCTATCACAACATGATTGGAAGTATTCGTTCTCCTCGTGACGTAGGTCAAGGTAGAGCGAAAGCAAATGGAGTAGAGCAACCTTTTTCCTGGTTTTACGCAGTGGTGGATCCAGGATTTTGATTGCTGCTGTTGCGTTGGTCACGTGATAGTAGCGAACTTACTTTGTGTATTTTGGGATAATTGTGTAGATGACCTAAAACATACAAGTTTGTTTAGTTCAAAAGTCCTTGATTCAAGGCATATGGCTTAGTTTCAGTCAGTTTTTATCAAAAGTAATTTGATTGCTCAAAGGACCAAAATTACACAGACATATTGCTGGCATAATCTGAAATACAGATCAAAAAGTTGATCGGGAGAGTTGGCGTTAAAAGACGATTCGATTGACCAATGCAAATTACCGACTTTGATAAAAGACAGTTATTCTAAAGTTCAGTTCAAACCTGGAGTACATAAAGCTACAGGGAGTAAGGGGCACCTATAAGTTACCTCTTCACTTTTATGTGACCGATTTTTACAAAAGGATTAGCTAGCTTCTTTAGTATCTCGGACGACATCTTTCCGGTCAGGCACGGTGATCAAAGGCAAACTTAGAGCACGGAGATATTCAGCTTTGCTTTCAGAGAAGGGCAACTTTAAACAGATGGAGGGGATTCTGAAAATGATTGTTTCATCAAATCCTTCAAATTTTGTTATTCCCTTGACACTCGGATTTCATATATTGCCCAAGGCCGGGGCTCAACCTTGAACCGTTCCACGGAAATACTAAATAAACATTCGGTTTGCAGGGAAAACTAAAAGTATTGAGACAATAGCGCCTTTTGGTGCTCCGTGGCTATGAAAAATCTACGATGCCATAGCTAAAAAAAGGCCTATATGATTATGGGCACCCTGCATGTGATTGTTCCAAGGATACCAAGGCAGCAGTTTAATAAACGAGCTAATAAAGTGAATCCGGATGTTTCTAGCCTTAAAGTGCGCTGTGCACACTGTAGGGCTTTGGAACTGCGATTGGACCGTCATCTGCACTAATCTTGTCATCAGCGTTTACGCATGAATATCGGTCAATCGATGTATCCACAAAAACCGGATTCATACTCCAGCAGAAAATGGTTATGATTAAAGATAAAAACGTACCTCTGTGTAATTCCACACACACACAAACGCCTAATACCCTCTCCCTCTATGGTTATGTTTTTCCTATGCACTAACCTCTTTAATTTTCTTTGCTCATTCGTTTCCTATTACGCATTCACTCGCAAATTGCCCTTTATCACTTTAGGTGCTAACACTTACGAGGAGGCTGGTTTGTACATTCAACTCAAATTTGAAGCGCTAAATAGACGTCAAGCAACTAAAGAAATTTACACGCATTTCACCTGTGCTACAGATACCACAAACATTCAATTTGTGTTCGAGTCGGTCACGGATGTGATTATTCGGAACAATTTACGATGGTGTGGATTGTTGTGAAAATATTGAGGGTACAGCTACTCGCCTAAAACTGTCCTCCAACTTCATTCTTTCCATCCACACCCCATGGCCCGTATTCAGTCAGCTACCAGGTTTGTTCAACACAACATGTTAGGATTGTGACATTTACTTTCCTGTCCTGCGTCGACCGGATGTGTCTAACCGAAAGCAGGCTTACGACATCCGTAACCAGTGCGTTTTGTTCACAGAAACAGATTACAATTTGTACACATCCAAACAGCTTTGTGCGTGTGTCAGCGTATGCATTCAGGATACAAAATATGACGTGATGTTCTGTATTATTTCCGATCAGAAGTACTTTGATTCCTTGATTAATTGACGAATATAAATATCCAGGTGTATGTTTTGATACCTGCTCGTTGTTGATTAAAGAAGACCTTTTATGTCCTTAATGTTCAATTTTTGCGAATATTTGTGAATACGCGTAGGCATAGACTGGATTTGATTTTGTTTTTCGTGTCTTCGCTCCCTTTCATAGGGCCGTGTGGTATTTTCTGTTTTGTCTTTTTGTATTCATTTTATTCTCTCTCTCTCCCTCGCTCTCGCTAAAACATCGTGTGACATATTCGGCTGTACACAGGCTGCACAGGCTGGTCCAGTCTCATACCAGAAGCTCTTATTTTTCACATTCAGTCATTCCGCATGTGTATGAGTTTGTGTGTGTGCACATTTGCTACAGCTCTTTTGTGATACCGAAAACGATGTCGAACGCTGGTGCTTACGCATATCATATCATGTACAATTACCATTGAACTTATCACCATGCCATGCTGCTTTTCATTCCACCGCATTGTATGCTCCATATGAACATGTTCATCCATAGCTGTATCTTTTTTACATCTGGTTACTTCTCTGCCCAAAAGTACTATCTCTTTAATCCAAAGTGTAATACTGTTGACAAAAGGAGTGAAATCAGTCTAATGTAAATTATACACAAAGCACACCTCATTGGGAAAATCATTCAAAACCGTCAGACGAGATTCAAACTTCAGGATGACCTCGCTCCTTTACCATAAGGCTGCTCACAAATTAATCAACTTAACCTGTTACTTTGCATTTAACTTACAATTACTTGTGAGTAGTATTGTGGGATAATTGTTCCTCATTGAATGATTAGAACTGACCATCCTTCAAACTTTAACATCACGCACAATCCTCAGTTTAATCCTCAGTTCGATTCAACCATACACTCGGAAGTACTAGGCTCCAGTTTTGCTCTAATTAGAGCTAGTCAGTAGTGCATATCTACCGTCCCGTTCGGGATTTGAACTCCGGAACCAACGTATGGAAGGCGTGTGCGTTACAACTGTGCCAGCCAGTTCACGCCAGGTCTGAACAGAAATGCCCATTGATGTTTTTTCAGGTGTCGTCGTCAGAGCTAGTCAGTCAGTTCAATTTGGCCCGATAGCAACGTAAGGAGATATAATTGATTCTCTGTTAACTTCAATCGAAAGCCTTCCACCAAGTCAGGTCTTCGGTGCATGTTACGGGCTAACTGACCAGTGGCTGGCTGGCACAGTGGTAACGGACACGCCTTCCATGCGTTGGTTCCGGAGTTCAAATCCCGGACGGGATGGTGGATATGCACTACTGATGAGTTCTAATAAGAGCGAAACAGGAGTCCAGTGCTTCCGAGTGTATGTTTGACTGAAAGAGCTGAAGAATGTGCGTGAAGGTGAAGTCTGAAGGATGATCAGTTCCTATAATTCAATCAATAACCTGTTACTGTTCCCCATTTTCTGACCAAACTGTTTTTATTTCATTAAATGCTGGAGAAAGAGAGAGGATATCACATATCCGGACTTCTCAATGTGAAGAACTAATCGTTACGATAATATTATAATCTAACCATTGAGGTGTTTCCATTGCCCTGAAACGAACCTAGAAAATGATACAAACTGCATGAGTAGTTGCAGTGAAATAACCAAACATTTATCAGTTACATAAAGACGATTCATTCTTTGTGATTGTTTGTTCACTTCAGCATGGCAGCGTTGGCTTCTTAGCATTTGTTTTCATATATATATATACCGGTCGTGTGCTTCCAGGGAAATTTTGTCCAGTCATTCACATACTACTTATTATCAAA